ATGGGTGCCTAGAGAACAGAGCTGATGCCACAGCCTGGAACGAAGCTGCAAAAGGGAACTGATTGAAAACTTCCAAGATCTATCCGTGCTTTATGCTTGAAACCTGAGAACATGAAGCATCCAACTGGCACTGTGTCAATGAGGACAGGCATTTGAGACCCTAGGGAGGACGCCCAAGGCACGTGTTGTGTTTGTCAAGCAAAGAGCAACAAGGACGTTAAAGACTGAGGAAGATCTAAGACACAGAAGACAGACTACACAAGCACAGACACCATCGGGAACCACTGTGCCTGGCACATGGTAGTCTTGTGCTGAAGAGTAATCTGCTCCCTTTACCTACCCAAAGGGCACTGTTCCTGGACATCCCTCTCCCCTACGCTAATTTTCAAACCCCTCCCTGCAATTCCCAACCTGGTCCCCTCCTCCCAGCCCCAGTCCCTCAATTTAGCTTTCAGAGGGCTGGAGGTCTGAATGCACCCTTGACAAAAAGAAACATATCAGCTAACTGGGATGTTCCTGCAGTGGCCAGGTTCTTCTTTACCTGCAATAAAAAAAAAAATAAAAAAAAAAAAAAAGGGCAAAAGACAAAACAGAGTTGGCAGTCAGCACCACACCAGTCAATGCCTACATCATCCACAACACCTCCATCAGAAGCACCGTGGAGCTCTGCTCACCTACTCATTTCAGAGTCAGACACTGTGGCCATCATCACTTTTTGGTACTTAAGATCCCAAGGGACAAAATTACCATTGCACTTGTAAGACAGTGTAAGGCCCATGATCTTCCTCGTTACTACCACAGCTCACCTCAAAGGCTCGTCCAATTCCAAAGGTGGCTCCCACAGCACCTGCAAAACTGAGGTAAATGCTTAACCAAGTTGCCATATAATACTTTTTTATTAGACACCAGCCCAGCCAACAACCTCCTCACCTTCTTGGACTGCCTATCAGCATGCAACTTTGCCCCTCCGAGGCTACCTGTGGCACCTGCCAAAACCAAAGCAAGGCACACATGCTGAGATACTGCCTGAAACTGCCACCTGCCCACACCAATTGCCATCTCCTGCTCCTTTGCTTTAGCCGCTCACCCACCCTATCTCTGCAGTTTGCACACCACCTGTAAGACACAAACAACAAGGGATGCTTCTAACTTCACCAGCGATAGGACACCTGGAAAATAACTGCTACTTCAGGCCCCTAGTCCTTGCTCACTTTGCCTGAGCCAGCTCTGGTGCCAATATCCCACTTTGTTCACAGCTTTCCATCATCAACATAAAAAAAAAAAAAAAATAAAAAAAAAAAATCACACAAAAAGAAAACCTATAAGCTAGTCATAGCACCAGTCCCATCTTCCTATACCGCTCACTGACCCACCTTCTAATGGAGCTCTGCTCACCTCCTCCATCTCTCTGGTGTGCAACTCATCCCTCTGCACCTGAAAAAAAATAGTAGATGAGTCACCCAGATAACAAGTGATATCTTAAGAAATCCCGAGGTCTTGATTTCAGCTAGGAATACCATCTAGAGTCTAACTACATCCTGCCGCTGAAAAAACAAAACCAACTCCCACACCGAACTGTCAGCCCCACACCTACAAGCCTCAACACCTTTGAGATTCAATCTGCTTCATTACTGCAGAACAGCCCCTCCCACAGAGCTCAGATCATCTCCATAAAACACTGTAGAAATGACTGTCCACACAGCCTGCTGATGGCCAGCTGATCTGAAGTGACTACGCAAACATTGCCGAAATGGTCTAAGTGTATCAACATATTAACCCTAGACTCCTACTGCTACTCAAACTACCCCTGACTCTACACCCCTGGGCAGAGCACCTCCAAGACAAGCACACACATGCACAGACCGACAGCACACACAGTGCGATTCAATAATGAGAGAAAACTCTAACTGAGAATGACTCCCAGACAGGTGATGCTGCTGAGCAAGATGACCTAGATGGTCACAACTATGAAACAAGGAGGCTCTATGGCAGCCCCAGGGAAAAAAAAAAAAAAAAAAAAAAAAAAAAATTCAAACATAATGGCCCGTTAGAAGAAGTTATCATCAAAACTGAGACAACAGATACGCAAGAGGACTGACTTCAAGACTTAAGTATGTAAAGATGCAGGGAAAAAGTACCAGTCTGAAAAGAGACACCTAAGGAGCACAGCTGATGACACAGCCTGGAAAGATGCCACAAAACAGAACCAACTAGAAGCTCCTAAGACCTATCCACACTTTCAGCTTGTAACACAAGAACAAGAAGCGCCCAATCAGCGCTATGCCACCAAGGTCAGGCATTTGAGACCGTAGAGATGGTGCCCAAGGCATGCACCGTGCTCCTCGAGTACAAAGAGAAACGAGGGCATCGAGACTTGAGGAAGGTCTAAGACACAGAAGACAGAATACACAAAGTACACAATGCCGACACAGGCTGGAACTGCCCTGCCTCAGCACAGTCTTGTCCTGAAAAGGAACCCACTCTCTTTACCAGCCCAAAGGGGACTGTTCCTGAACATCCCTCTCACATACACTAACTTTAGTACCCCTCCCTGCAACTCTCAACCCTGTCCCTTCCTCCTAAGCCGCCTCCCAGATCTGGTCCTTCAGCTTAGCTTTCAGAGGGCCAGGACTTGGCTCCAAACATAGCTCCAAATTCATCCTCCACAAAATCTACATCGGCTAACTGGGATGTTCCCAAGTCACCAGGTTCCTCTTCATCATCTGCAAGAAACCCACAAACATTGCTGATGGGAAGCATCACGCTGGCCAAGGCCAACCTCTTTCACAATGCCCACCTCAGAAGCATTGCTCACCTGCTCATTTCAGAGTCAGATGCTGCAGCCATCATTGCCTGTGGGACCTAAGATACCAAGAGCTACAAAATTATTGTTGCACTTCTGGAAAGTCACCAGCCCATGCTCCTCCTTGATACCACCCCAGCTCACCTCCAATGCTCATCCAATTCCAAAGGCTGCCTGGACATCACCTGCAAAAACCAAAGAGAAAAGCTTCAAATAGTTGCTGCCGGATACCACAGGATCTGGCTTTGCTCACTGCTTTGCATCTTCAAAATAATACACATCTATAAGGTAGTCAGAGCCACCAGTTGCATCTTCCCTACCTTCCTGGAGTGTGCTCCACTCACCTCCTCCACTGCCCTTTGGCACACAGGTCATCCTTCTTCATCTGCAAGAGCTATACTGAACAAGTCACCTGATTGCCAAGCGATAGCTTAACAATTCCAGAAGTCTTGTTTCCATTTAGATATACCATCTCAATTCTCACTACAGTCTGTGATAAAAAAAATGGTCATTCCCTGTGTCTCTGCGTAGTGCTATGGAAGTATGTCGCCTCACTTGCTACATATATGGCTACTTACTCTGAAACAGACTGTACACTCTTTGCCTACAAAGTCTAGGCTTATCAACACAGTAGCCTTACATTCTTATTGTTATTCTCTTGCTGACTACCATTGCTATGCTGTCCAGAGCAGCAGTTCCAACCCAGACACAAACATGCACAGCCCAACGCTGCACACAAACAAGACAAAAAGCTCTAAGTATGCATCCAGGACCAAAGACACTGGCAGATAAGACCTATGGGGCCATGAGGAAGAATCTATGGCAGGCCGAGCAGTCAAACACTGTGGCCTGTGACAAAAACATAACCCTAAAAAAAAAGACAAAAGGAAAATAACAGAATGATGGATAGATCAAGACAGGGCAAGGAGCTGGACAGAGACAGAGAAAGAGGGACAGGGAGAAGGACAGAGGGATAGAGAGATACAGACAAAGTGATAGGAAGCAGGACATAAGAACAGAGAAAGGAGGCTAGCAGCACAGAGGGACTGGGAGAAAAAGAGAGGGACAGGGAGCAGGACAGACTGATGGAAAGAAAAAATACAGGTAGAGAGTAGAACAGAGGGCTAGAGAGGGTAAAAGGAAAGGAAGAAGGACAGAGGGCTAGAGAGCAGAAACAATGTGACAGGGAGGCAGACAGAGAAATAGGAAAAATTAGGGACAGTAAGGAGGACAGAGGGACAGGGAAAAGACAGGGACAGGTAACAGGACACTGGAATAGAGAGACAACTAGGACAACAGAGAATCGGAGAAGGAAGACAGGGATGGGGATCAGCACAGGAGGATAGAGACAGAAGGGGACCAATGGCTACCAGGACATGGGGGTTAAGAGAAAAAGACAGGGACAGAGAGCAGGACAGAGAGATGGAGAAAGAAAAAAGAGGGACAGGGAGAAGGAGTAGGGCACAGGGTTAGAGAGACAAAAAGAAGGATGGAGACTAGGATTGAGGGATAGAGAGAGGGACAGGGAGCAGTATGCAAGAATATTGAGAAAAACAGAGGCACAGGGAAGCAGAAAAAATACTAGAGATAGAAAGAGATGGTTGGGGAGTCAGATAGAGGGTCAGGGTGCCAGGCATAGGGATGGAAAGGCAAAGAGAGAGGTATAGGGTTGAGGAACAATGCAACAGAGATGGAGGCAGAGAGGCAGGATGGAATGTGGAAGGAAAGGGGATGAGGAAAAGTGCAGGGAGGGACCAGGATGCAAGACAAGGAGGCATGCACTCATGGGCCCAGAACTCACTTCAGCTCCCTCTCTCAGTGCTGGCTAGAAAATTTTACAATTTGGATATTTCTCTCTTTAACCCTCTCACCCATCATCTTCTGCAGCTTCGGTCACTTGACTGCCATCCACCTTAAGGACTAACTTGGTGTCTTATAGCTCTTAAAATATAAGGCTTCATAGATATCTGATGTAACATACACAAATAAATGGGTTAACCATGCTTTTGGTTACACATACAGCCCCTGGGTTATATTCTGGTGATCTAGTCTGTGGAGGACTGCTAACAGGAATCCTTTCTCACCCAGAAAGACAAGGTTTCTAATCTGCAGATAGAGACAGCTTCCAGTTCAATCCACTTCATTTTATTCTTCAGCTGGTCTACTTGACGTGCAGAAACAAACTCTACAACTCACAGAGAGTTATAAAGCAGGTATGTTTATTACAGCGCTGGGTGCAAGGGGGATTGCTCCTCCTAGCTTGCACATCGTATCACAAAGCAAGCGCTCTTTTATGATAGAACAGCATGCCTACTCATTACTATAGGCTGGGTTATTACAATCAGTTCTGGGAATAGGCGTAACTATTGCAATTATTTCACAGAACTCATTATTATAAGTCTCCTCCTTCTGCCGCATGCATACTGCTGTCCGGTGATGGTGGACAGGGGTCTTCTGGAGGAAGGCTCGTAGTCTTCTTCACCGTGTACTTTTCACCTTTGTCTAGAGAAGAATGCTGAATTAGCTGAGTTAGTAACCGCCAGTCCCACCCAGATGGCTACTCCTCACAGACAATAAGGTTCCCGTAATTAACGTATGGGTACTCTGTTATCTGTGAAGGCCCCTTGCAAACAAATTTCCTGTTATCCTGCTAAACTATCCGCTAAGCTTACAGTATTTTGCTAAGTGTTTATTTTCTTGTATCATACCTTTTTCTGGTCTCTCCAATTTCAGCCACGAGAACTACACTAAAAAACAAGTAAGTATTAGACTTTTCCCTTTTCGCAAACGCGCAAATCGGAGACAACCGAAGCGAACCAAAGCCCCGCGCCGCCGAAGACACCCGAGGTGAAAAACCCTCGCCGCTCCCGGGCACCGCGCACGCGCCCGAGCCGGCGGCGGGAGGGAGGGGCCGGAGCCCGCTGACGGAACTGCGCGTGCCGAGCGGCAGCACCCCCGCCCCGGTCAGCTGGTGGCAGCAGCGCTGCAGCTCCCGGCACCACCCACGCGGCGGCCTGCCCGCCCCATGCCGAAAGACTACAGCTCCCGGCATGCCACGCGGACCAGCATGGCTGACCGGAAGTGCTTGCGCACGCGGCCAGTGCGGCGGGTGGGATCTCTCCTAGTTTCCAAAGTCCGCTCCCGAAGGGGGTGCTTGTAATTTCTTGGTAGGTCGTCAGTTACCGTGACAGACGAGGTTTGTTTCTTGTTATTGTCTCCATGTTTGTTTTGTCAGGTCTGTGTAACTGTAATATTTTGTTTCTGGCTTCCTGCATTTACCCTTAGTTCCCCAGCTGACAGGGTTCCTGATCAGATAAGGTTGCTGGAATAAACATTCTTACTCTCTCACACGCCTTCATCAATTAGTGTGACTGACCACATTTGGTGGACAGGTTGGTGTTCTTGTATGGTCTTGTCTGTGGCTTCTTCCCATTTGTTATTACCCCTTTTTGTTTTGCATTGAGAAGGGTACTTGACTGGACACCCTTAAAGGAGCAAACACTCTCATTCCACATACCTTTACCAGCAGCAACTTCATTTCAACAAGGTCAGAATAAAAGCCTGATAGATCAGCTAGGCCTTCCCTACAGCTGAAGCTGTCAGCAGTGGCAGTTTGAATGTTCATCCTGCACGTGGTGAGCGATGGGGATGTCGATGTGACTGCCTGTGCCACAGCATAGGCCTGCAAGAGAGCCCATGGCGGACGTTTGGCAAAGCCTTGCTAGTATTACTGTGCAACTGCCTGAGGGAAAGGGTTGAGCTGGGGGAAGGGAGCGTGAGGCCACTGCTGCCTTTGAGGCAAGCAAATAAATAGGTGCTGGAGGAGGGAAACCCAAGAGGCTTCTCGGAGCTCTGAGAGCACAGCTTGGGTTAAGCCTTGAGCAAGGACATCCCTGCAGAAGAGACATCTTCTTGATGAATGATGAAGTGTTTGTGGGGAGACCTGGGCTGTGGAGTCAGCAGTGTCAACGCCCAATGGGTTTGGGGGAGCAAATGTGGGTGTCTACACTTTCTGTGAGCAGCTAAATCAGATCTAAAGAGGGGGCCTAGAGCCATCAGCTGCTCAGGTCCTATACTCCTTAGCGAGGCTCTGCACAGCATGGGGAGACATTTGGGATGTTGGTGGAGGGGCCTTTGTCAGTGGTGGGAGCCTAAGCAGAGGGGTGGCAGCTGAACAAACTCCATCACTACTGTCTGGGGGAGAGACCTGCTGTGGGCACCGGGCATCCTTGCACAGCAGGGTGTGCCATCCTGCACAGAGGCACACGTGGGGGCACCTGGATCTGCACGGTGCCTCTAAGGGAAGGTGTCATCATTGAGGTGGAAATGAAGAGGGAAGTCTGGGAAAAAACGATGCCCACTTGGCTGAAGAATAGGAGGAGGAGGACCCTGCAGGCTTGTGCCCAGCTGCTGGGCAGTCACAGGGACTGACTTGAGTCCACGGTGAGACTGGGCTTCTGCAACTGCCATGTCTCCCCTCCCTGCCTGCTTTAGTCCTGTCAGGGATCTCTGCCCAGTGCTGTGCTCTGGGGTTTTGGTCTGCTGCGGTTATAGGACTGCACTTCTGTCTGTCCCACTGCCCAGCCAAAGATCAAGGGTCAGCACAGCAATGAGAGAGTGAGCAGCCTTTGGCGCCATCTGTAACCCTTTTGTCTTACTCTTGTTCCCTCAAGGAGAAAATGCTTGTGAGTAGTCTGACTCCCCGGTGGGATTAGTGGGCCATCTGCCTTATGAGTCACCAGCTGTGTCCTGCTGTTGGGCAGGATCCTGCCTCAGCCACCTTCTCTGAATACAGGGTAAGGAGAGAGGGCACTTCCCATCCTTGTTCAGCCTGATCTTCCCTCGTTTACTTACCCTCGTTTACTTACCCATCAACACCAAGATCACACAGGGCCTGGGCTCTATCCACAGAAGAGAAAAGGGTAGGCTGCGAGCTTGGCTGGTCTCTTACACACATTGTGTTAATTTTCTCTGTGTCACAAAGGATCTCTGAAAGAAGGTGGTGAAGTCTGACCTTCTCAGGGGCATCTTTCTTTGTGGTGGGGAGACAGGGCAGTTTCCCACTGGTCTCTGAGAGCAGGATATTGTAATGAACATCAGGGACAGACCCCCTCCAAGTCTGTAGGAGAGATAGAGGATGATTGGACCACTAATTAAGGTTCCTGATGTTTTGGCAGCTGCATTCCTCCCTGCTTCCTGTCTAGTCAGGAAGTTTCCCAGTTGCTTTCTCCCAGCCCATCCCTGCTAGTGGAGGAACTCACCTGACCAGGACAAGAGAAAATCTGTTCAATACTCAGAGTTAGGGAGGAGAAATCTGAGCTGAAGTTCTAGATTTTATTTGAAGGCATTTTTTTAAGCCCATTTCTACTGTGTCCTGGGAGTAGATGTTAGAGTTTTTAAGTGATCCTTGAGGATGTGACATCTACATGCTGGGTCCTTCCATCAATGCCCACATGGTGGCCTGAAGAAGGGGACACAGGCAAAAGGATTTCAAAGGTTCATGGAACGTAGTCTCACTCTGCATACCCACAATCACAGGACAAGTCCCCAGAGCATGACAAGCACAGGAGGCCTCATCCCCCACCTTTATCATATCTGGCCATCTGCAGCTCCTACATGCCAGAACCTGGCCCTTGGCCAGGGCCACAGCCTTGACGCAGATCCCAGGGCTGCATTACCACACCCAGCACTGCACCTTCTGGGACAGGATGGTCAGGAGCTGCTCCAGCACTGCCAACTCCATGGTATGACTCTGCAGTCCCAGCCAGTGTTGGGACAGCTCCTGCAAACAGCTTCCAGACCCCTCTGCCTCCAGATACATGGAGCCCTAATCCATGAAGTTGACCAATGAACGCAACTCCTAGCCCTTAACCGTACACCAAACTTCAAATTCTAACCCACTCTAAATCCTAATCCTAAATCTAACCCTTGTCCCCCAACCCAAACCCCTAAACCCTAATCTGAACTTTAATTCTTAACCCTTAAACTACCAACATTAACCCAAATCCCAAACCTGAGCCAAAGTCCAAACCCAAACCCCTAATTCTAACCCCAGCCTGAACCCTAACCCTTGACCCAATCCCCAATTATAACTCAACACCTAACATCCTAACCATATTCCCTAACTCCAAAAGCTCACCTCAACCCAGAGAAGTAGCGGAGTTCCCATACTTGGAGATATTTGAAAACCTTAATGTGCTGAATCCAAACCATCGCTCTAGATTCTATCCTACTCCTCCTAATTCTTCGATTCTTCTGTCAAAGGGAACACTTCCAAAATATGTTTATTGTACGTTTTTGTAAGTTTAACTGTACAAAGAAAGCCAAGTAGGTCAGAAAACAGTTATCTCCCCTTTACAAAGATTTCCTCTCCTCCTCCACAGTCTCCCTTCCCATAGTTTCTAACAAAGGCACACATACTGCTGGCTTGGTCTCTCAAAGAACACGCTGACTACAGAGCCAAAAACGTGTGAAATCATTCAGTAACAGGAACAAAAACATTAAGAACAAAACACGTCTGCCACTTAGTGTAGCGATAGCATGATGCAGGTTTTTTGTCTGTTGTAAATGTCATAATTGCATCTTAGCTGGGGAAATGTTCCAGCATCATCAGCAATGACAGCTAAGGAAGAACTACTTTCCTATAACATCTATTAAAAAAAAAAAAAAAAAAAGAAAGAAAAATTAAACTCTGCTAACAAATATTCAGGATAATTATTGAGAATGTACTGTGTACATGCCCTTTATGTACATCAAGAAGATTCTGTACAGTGTGTATAGCAGCTTGCTGCAACACTGCTGGCAACTATAACTTCTTGGTGATTTCTTTAATATAGCAGCTGCACTTTTAAAAATTCTTTACTAAAAACTAAAAATTTGGGGGGTTCTGTATGTCAGATGATAATAAAAATGCAGTTTTACATGTGACTGACCCACAGAACTGCAGGCGACTGAGGACTTGTAAAAGGTACAGGACAGGTTCAACGAGGTCTTAAAAAAAACTCTCCGCCTTCCTCAGTCCAAAGGGACAGCAGAGTCCAACAGCATACACTCATAATAATCTTCTGGAGAACTCAGCAATGTTTGCCAATACCCAGGTTGTGATCCTTCTCAAAAGCTCTAAGATTGCAGGCGTGTACATGCCAGTGGGACCTGGAGTATAAGCCCACCTGGCTAAATGTTGGCACTTCCTCTAAACATGATTACTCACTCTCTCAAGCTCCGTCAGTGACAATACTGATTCTCCTTTGACTTAGATGAAAGCCTAGACACTTTGTTCAGTATACATACGTACATCACAGAAGCTTAAATATAAGCAAGATTAAGTCTACCCTAAAGTCTTCTTGTTACAAGTCTGCAAGTTCTCCCTCCTGAACAGGAAAAATATGCCCAACTATGGCACAGGCATTCTGCTGAACTTTTCCTGCATTCTTCTTAGCTTCTGGTTCTCTCTCCAGATTCAAAGTAGCTTCTTACCTAACGTTAGTGAACAAGATACATCACTCTTCACGTCGTGTACAAACAGACATTTGTGGCAGCATTGATCTAGAGTATCAACTTCACTCCAGTATTCACATGAAAAGCAGAAATCACAAGCCACCTAGCTGAGTTGTTTCTTTTGCTTCTTAATTTTAATCCCCAAGAATAAAATGAAAGACCAATAAAGGATGTGTGAAGCAACAATATTAGGATCATCTTCACATACTCCATTTATTCAGTTGTATGAAAGGAGAGTAGTATGACAATGAATGTAAAAAAAGATTTAATCTCTCAGGTAATTCTTCTGCTTTGGAAAACTGAGTAGCATATTTTCTCTGGTTACAGAAGCTGCTCCTAAACTGTTGACTTGTTTGGTAAAGAGTTCTCTGATCACAGAAAGCTGCAAACAGCAGCATTACTGACAGTGCAGCTGGGAGCAGATTTGTCACTGTCAGCCTTAAGCCTGATTGTTCTTATGAATTGAGCTACTTCCGTAGAGACTACTAAATCCAAGCACATCTGGTATGGACAAACATGCTAGTGTTTATGATCTAATGCCATGACAAAGAACAGCAGAAGTTACATTATTTTGATAGTTCTCTACATTGATAACAGTTTGAAGCTCTTCTTTTGTACCTATCAGAAATTTTCCACACTGTCATCCAGTTCTGCCAGTGCTCTTCACAACCATAGCGTTTAGTCCATTGCAAAGTGACAATCTGGGACATAGAATAAGGAGGAAAATTGTGCCCTGAAACTTGGCCTTTAAATTTTAGGAAGTCAAGCCAAATGCTGCCACCCAGATCCAGTTTTTCTGAACCTGCCCTGCATATATGTGGCTGAGCTTCAAAATTTGTACAGGAACACGCACTCAGATACACAAATATAGCAGTGTCTTTCTGTTCCTACTTCCATATGCATGTTTATGGAAATGTTGTTTGTTTTTAAAAATTCTATTTCTTCTTTCTGGTGTGTGTACACCCTTCTGTCTATTGGCACGGCGTTTTCTCCCCACTTGATTTATACACTATGCCGACGGTTGTTGATCATGGCAACAATGTGTGACAGGTCCAAACTTTTCATCATAACTTCCATGAATTCCTCATCTTTCCTTGCTCCCTCCACAAATTCATCCAGAGAAAGTTCACCTGTGCCAGACAGACAAAAGGCATCAGAATCATGCCAATCCACATTTGAACAGGAAAAGGAGTACAGTAATCTAACTTTAGAGACTACTTACTATACATGCACTGTTCTAAAGCACAAAGAGGCCTCAGAGAGTCTTCTTAAGTTTAAATGAAACTTCCCCAATATCCAGGCAACTCCAGCCTCCTTTTTTTTTTTCCCACACAAGGGAATGGGTAAATAAGAAAGAGCAAGTGCATAGCTAAGGAGTGGGATCATAGCTTCCTATAAATAAGGCTGGATTAGCCACCTCCTTTTTGGCCTGTCATAGTCCTAACCTTCCCCATACTTGCTGGTTTTCGTGTTTAAAAGAAGTGACAGATGGAAGCTGTGACAGGCAGAAATAGGTTTTCTGTCCTAAGCCAAAAAGCCCTTGTGCAGGGAAGCAGCTCAGCAGAGTTCTTCTGGAATAACAAGAGAGCACATCAGGAGGTAATAAGGACGTGAAGTCTCAAGGAAAGGAATATTTCTCAGGGACATACAGTGACCGCAGTGGCGTTGACCTATTTTTGACTGACTGGTCCATAGCACTTCATGTGCTTGCTGTACTGCTTGTAACAGACCCAGTGAAGAAACTCTGAACTTAAGCATTAAATTCCAGTTCTTGCCTTCCTTGCTGCTGAAATATTTAGGAGCAGCTGGGGTCACGTTATATTTCCCACTTCTAACTCTGACATAAGCTACACAGCAACATACAAAAAAGTAAAACAAAACTTACTCCAAAACCCCACTACCAAACTCACGTGGACAGAACACAGCTGAGACTTAGTACAGGGAACAAATCCTGTCATGCTGATTATGTACGATACAAGGAGAAAAATGCCTTAGCAAAATTAATGGAGAACACATTACTGGATGACAATTCATATAATAAACAAATATAAAATGAAGAGGTATAAAGTTCAATCAAGAAAGGAAGACATGGATGTCTCCCGGTAGCACAGAGACCATCTGAGTTGGGTGACGAAGGCAGGAATCTTACCATCTCCATTAACATCAATTTTGTTGAAGACTCGGTTGGTGAACTCCTCTGCACTGGTTTCATGGTCACCACCATTAATAGCTCTAATAGCCTAAAAGAAAAGAGCAAAAAGAGGAAGCTGCCTGATGGCACCCGAAACGATAGACTGATTTCACTGCAGCCTGTCAGGATAGATTCAGAACAAAACAGTCACGCCTGGTACCTTCCCCAAACAAATGAACCAGCATCATAGGAGAACACAGCAGAAATCATCAGGTCTTGCAGTTGGCACTGAAGACTGCAAAAGGAACATGGTTCTGTAGCATGGAATGAGCAGTGAAACCCAGAGGATCATCCTAAATCTGCTTAGGTAGAGCTTGAGCACTGCAGAAATGGCAGAATCAGGATTCACCTAACTGATCCACTTTCTAATACCCTATGGCCCACCAAGCCAAATAAATACTGTCAAACACCCTGTGCATTTGATATTATGAAATTCCTTTATTATATGCTGCGGTCATTTATTTCTATCCTTGCTTTCCCCATTCCCATTTATATACTGTTTTCTGTGTGTTCTGCTTCTCCCTAAAGCTCACTGGAAATTCATTTTCAGCTTAAGAAAGTTTAAGCATTATTCACTGCTCTTCACTACAATTCATCTTATCCATAACCATATAGTGCAGGGTTCTCTTTTCTTTCCATGCTTAATTATTTAAGGATGTCCACGAAATACGTGATTCCAGAGCCTTCATATTGATGCTAAGACTATGCATTCTAGTTTTTACTTTCTGATATTTGGTAAGTTTCTTCATTTTTTTTCCAATGCCATTTTACTAAAACTATCACTTCAGCTTCCTAAGGCTGCCAAAAAAGACAGTGAACTACACCCACAGAATTCAAAGGGCAGTAAAATGGTTGCCACCAGTTATTGCTCACAGGACTTGTTTCTCAGGAGCTCTGTGTTAAGCAGTTACCATCTGTTGCTTTCCTGTGATGTCTGAGTATTTCTATTACAAGCTGTAATTAAGAGGCTGTATACTATTACAGTTATTGATTTGGTTTGGTCCCTTCAATGCCCAGCACTAAAATTCATATCCAGATGAGAATACATTACTAACATCATCTTATTAGTGGCTTTATGTGTGGACAGCTCAGCTTGAAATCTTTATCAAATTAATTTTCTGACCTTTCTTATACAGAAATGTAGATAATTTAGGCTCATTGAATCTTTCCTGCATTTTTCTAGTTTCCCAGTCTCTACAGAAAAATCTGAACTTCCAGCATAATTCATTCTGAGACATTCATATGGTCATGTTTATGTCTGTAATTCCAACATCTTCCACAATAGTTTGCCAAAATCAGTAATATTTTATTACACTGATGTTTAAGAGCAAAGAAGCAAACTGGAAGGAACTCTCTAACTACTATTCGCATGGGGAAAAGGACACATGAAGGACACATTGCAGAGACTGCAACTGACAGTCACAGAGTCTGAAATCCTAGAAAGTGCAATTTATGTCCTAGGCAGTTGAAACAACTTTATGGTGTAGGCTATGCTACAACATATGCTGTGGTGGTAAAGAAGAGTCTGTCAAGTATGCTTACTGGACTATGAGATTACAGGGAATTCTGCTAGAAGAAGGAATGCTGTTAAAGAAGGTCTCATCCAAGATCATCCATGCAGGGAATAGCAAAAGTCTTACTTGTGTGGTGGAATATGTCTTTAAAGAAAGAGAAAAGAACACAGAAGCCTGGAAACACACCTTAATGATGTTAAGCAACTCATGTCGATCAATGCAGCCATTGCCATCTACATCGTAGAGCTTGAAATACCACCGCAATTTCTGCTCCATCTTCCCACGGAGAACAAGGCTGAGGGCAGCCACATATTCCATGAAGTCAATATATCCATCCTGTGGGAAAACAAAACCCAAATTTTGACAGGAACAAACTGGTGGAGTTATGGCTCTGGAGCTGTTTTACCTTATTGTCTGTTAAAAAGAAACAACAAATAAAGTGCATGTGTCTGTCAAAGATTCTGAATATCTACTTCAAGAAATTACAGAGAAAAAAAATGAAACTTTAATTTATTGAGGTATTTAAACAAAGTCAGATGGCTTTCTGGAAGGGATGTAAATAAATATATGTAAAAGACAAATGTAGGCGGGCTAGCAGAGCCCTACTATTTTACAGCATGGATTGCAACATTTTAAAATATTCATTCAGGATCATTGTAGCACTCCCCTTATGTGAGTTTTTCATAACTTAATTGAGCAAAGTCACAGAAAACAAAGATAATCAGCTCTAAAGGTGGGAAGGAGGGCATGACTGCAATTTATAAAATAACTCTATTGAAAATTTACCCTCTTTGTCCTCAGCAGAGTTCTCAGAATCTGAAGGTCCAGAGGGCAGATGATTCCATCATTCCTCCTAGAGAGTGGCTCTGCTACTGGCTGCTCTTGTTCCTTGTCCTTGTTTACAAAAGCAGCTTAGATTAAGTGGCTAACTATTAAGAGGCTAAGATTAAGTAATGTGGGTCCGTCTACTAGTTGCCACACTCTTACTTCATTCCGCTTGAGATCAATATCACTTTATTTAGAAGACTGCTTTTTATCTTTGTATGACCAAATTTGAATTTGAGAGTTTTCTTAATACATTGTTTACTGCATAACATGGGGTTCACGAGGGAACTTTTGAATGCTTCACCAAATTTTAAAGTTCTTAAATATCCCAAGAAATTACAGAAGTGAAGGGAAAGACTTGGGCAAGAACTGTAAACAAGTTGGTTTAGTTCATAAAACTGCTTCTCATCACTATCATCATCCTGGGCACAGAGAACTTTAGGATGATTTGCAGTCATTTCCAGTCATTACATATACCACAACACCTCAGCTACCCTAATAGAACCTGGCTGCTCCTCTCTTACCTTTAAGAATTTTGTAATATTCCTTAACTCCTTGTGCCTTCTTACACATCCAAACCAATGTTCTTTGCTCAGTCCCTAGGCTTTCCTTCTTCAAAACTGACCTTGTGATTTCCCACCTGTTTCACATCTCTCTGTGATTAGTTCCTCCTTGACTCACAGACATTTGCTCCAGCCATTTCAGAACTTTAGAGCTGAGAGCAAAGCTGAACTTTCCCAGGCTGCCATAAAACCAAATTTCTTTGTTACTGAGATTACAGGCCTGCAAGCATAGTCTTAAGTATATACGGATAAAAACCAGGCAAAAGTGAGGGGCATTACATGCTTAAAGGAATTATAGGGGCTACTGTTTCCTACCTGAGAGACAGCCAATAGTCGCTTGTCACAGTGAGGAATACTGCCTACCCCCTAGCTACTGCTATATGCTATATGTCTTAGCAGTGAGGAGAGCAACATAGATCATCTGCTCACGCACTATTAATTTTGGCTGCCGAATACCTGGAAATTACGTCTTCTGTTAATGTTATAATCATTTCTATTGTGTTTGACCCCTGTAGTCTTTACAATCTAATACAGATATATTTTTGAATAATAAGAAAAAGAACATATATGAATAAGAAAAATAATGAAATCTCATTTCATCAGTATTTTGCTTGTCACACAAGGCTAAGTCAATTAATACACAGTAAGGAACTCTCAAAAGTCAAAGATGAACTTGCACAGGATACTTAGATAATACGGTGTTATTACCTATAGTTATGTTATCTATGTCATTATCTATGCACATTAATTTGCTCCTTCCATTTAGATACTTTACATTGCTGTCCCTCACAGCTTTTCACACCGATGTTTGTAAGAGAAAACCAACTACTCTAAAAATGCAGGAGTTGGTTTGCTTTTAAGCAGTACAAGGCAGTTAATTTCCATGCTGGAGAACTCACCTTGTTCATATCAAATGTGCGGAACATCTGTTCAATGTACTCATTGGCCTCTGGATCCAGCCCTCGAAGCCCAAAGAACTGTTTGAATTCATACTCTGTCAGCTGTCCAGAAGGACACTCGGTCATGAATTTTTTGTACCAGTGGTGGATCTCGACAGCCTGCAGATCATCCACTGTGGAGCTGCTATTGTTCCCCATACATATGTGTGGTCAGAAGAATGCTGCTTCAGCAATGATCCTTTTCCTCCTGTTCCTCTCACAGCACTGCCTGTCTGTTCTTGTCCGCGTTTGACATTAGCGTCAGCTAAGTGAGAGATCTAACTTTCCACAAGCCAGTTATAAATGTTAATCTGCTTAGAGGCTGATTTGCAAAACTGAAAGTTTCAATGATACAGTCTTCTTAGAATGGAAAGGAGGTGCAAGATAAACTAGCAAATCAGTTATATTTCAGAAGACAAATCGGAAAGGGTGAGAAGGATGCCAGACACTGGTATCAGGAGTTATACTGGTTTGGTACATTACCCTATTTTTAACCTTGATAAAATTATACATAAAGATAAGAGGGAAAAGCTACAAGATGTGGGATATAAGGTGAAGTAAAGATCTGCTCCTCTAACTGAATTTGAGAGCCTGTTTTCTCAAATAGAAATGTTACATAACTTAGAGTATAGGACCAGAGAGTGTTACAGAAGTAGTCCATTGTGACTGTTAGGCTGTGTGGGAAAAATCTCATCTCCACACACACAAAAGGGCACAGAGGAAGAATGGCAGGTGGGGGAACTCAAATAATCCCTTGACCTAGCTAATCCCAGAACCACCACAGAAGTACAATCAACCCATAAAAAGCTCAACTGCACAAACAGGAAGGAGCAAAAAGAGACAACCACAGGCTGGGGAATCCAAATAACCCAGCAGTAAAAATGAAGCCCCTGTCCCAGCTCCTTTTAAGGCTGTCATACGAGAGTCATCAGCCCCATCGGCCTGGAGGTGACACTCATCACGGTGAGTCAGTGGGAGAGGTTGTCAGAGTACCTTACAGACTGAGGCCACTGCCGAGGGGTATGGAAAACATTGTGGGGTGCAGGGGAAGAGCATTTGGGGATTGCACAGGACTTATAATGGGATGTTTAGGGGAGGAATCAAAGGTGGGAAAAGGATGGGTCTAGGTGGTTTGGGGATGAACAAGCATGGGAAAACGGAGGGAAAGGGATGGTTGCATGTAAAACGGTTGCTGGTCAGTATGAGACTCTAGCCATGCCCTGTGTCTGATCAGCACAGCCTTTCCTGTCTTTTAACATTTCTAACTCTTTTTCTGGCTGTGCAGCTGTTCTGTGTGCATGGGGGTTTAAGTGCCTACAGCTTGAGTAGGGAGCATGGGTTACAGAAGCCTGCATGAATTTGGTGCTAGTAGCTGGAATTGGTGAGGATCAAAGTGCCAGCAACTGGTATCAGACCATGAATCTCAGGGTCCTGAATGTCTTGGGTGCTAGCAACTGGAGTGAGTGAGAGTATGTATGTCAGTATATGATCACTACTCAATATTAAGCCAGACTAGCCAGCAAACAGGTTAAGTGATTTGGGAACCGGGTGTGTGTAGTCTGTTAGTGAGACAACTGGAGAAGTTGACTATCGGAAGGACCAGAGGAACAGCGCAACTGCTGGAGAGACTGTAAGCTGTGGGGTTGAGGGAGACCCACTTGTCTGTGTGTGTTTCCCTGTGCAGGAAACAGACAGCTGGAGAAAGCAAGGATCCTGAGAGTCTCGTCACAGTGAATGGAGGGGCCCACAGTGTATATGCACGTGTGTATGCTAGTGTGTGCAAGGAGATCTGTACCAGCTGCTGTAGTGGAGCTGTGGGCCTTGGGGTTCTGGCATGTCAAGGTGGCAGCAGCTGGGGAGACTGAGGGTCTAAGCCCAGCCCTGCCAAGCCCACTGCTAAACCACGTCCCCAAGTGCTACTTTTAGACGTCTTTTAAATATCTCCAGGGATGGTGACTCAACCACTTCCCTGGGCAGCCTGTTCCAATGCTTGACAACCCTTTTGGTGAAGAAGTTTTTCCTAATATCCAATCTAAACCTCCCCTGGTGCAACTTGAGGCCATTTCCTCTTGTCTTATCTCTTGTTACTTGGGAGAAGAGACCGTCCCCCACCTCGCTACAACCTCCTTTCAGGGAGTTGTAGAGAGTGATAAGGCCTCCTTTTCAGCCTCCTTTTCTCCAGACTGAACAACCCCAGTTCCCTCAGTTCACAAGATATCCTCTCTAGACCCTTCACTAGCTTTGTTGCCCTTCTCTGGACACACCCCAGCACCTCAATGTCTTTCTTGTTGTGAGGGGCCCAAAATTGAACACAGTACTTGAGGAGCAGCCTCACCAGTGCTGAGTATAGGGGGACAATCACTTCCCCTAGGGGGACAATCACTTCCCCTAGGGGGACAATCACTTCCCTAGTCCTGCTGGCCACACTGTTTCTGACACGAAGCCAGGATGCTGTTGGCCGCCTTGGCCACCTGGGCACAATGCTGGCTCATATTCTGCTGGCTGTCAACCAACGAGCTCAAGGTCCTTTTCTGCCAGGCAGCTTTCCAACCACTCTTCCCCAAGCCTGTAGTGTTGAGTGGGGTTGTTGTGACCCAAGTGCAGGACCCGGCACTGAGCCTTGTGGAACCTCGTACAGTTGGTCTCGGCCCACTGATCCACTTGTCCAGATCCCTCTGTAGAGCCTTCCTACCCTCAAGCAGATCAACATTCCCAATGAACTTGGTGTTGTCTGAGGACTTACTGAAGGTGCGTTTGATTCCCTTGTCTAGAACACTGGTAAAAATATCAAACAGAACTGGCCCTAGTACTGAGCTCTGGGGAACTCCACCCGTGACTGGCTGCCAAGTGGATTTAACTCCACTCACCACCACTCTTTGGGCTGGGCCATTCATCCAGTTTTTTTACTCAGCAAAGAGTAAGCCCGTCCAGGCCATGAGCAGCCATTTTCTCCAGGGGAATGCTGTGAGAAACAGTGTCAAAAGCTTTACTAAAGTCCAGGTAGACAACATCTGCAGCCTCTCTCTCATCAACTGAGTGGGTCACCTTGTCATTGAATGAGATCGGGTTAGTCAAGCAGGACCTGCTTCTCATAAACCCATGCTGACTGAGCCTGATCACCTGGTTGTCCTATATGTGCTTCATAACCCTCCCTGGCACCGAGGTCAGGCTAACAGGCCCGTAGTTCCCTGGATCCTCTTTCTGGCCCTTCTTGTAGATGGGCAACACATTTGTTAACTTCCAGTCAACTGTCACCCCTCCAGTTAAGCAGGACTGCTGATAAATGATTGAAAGTGGCTTGCTGAGATCTTCTGACAGGTCCCTCAGTACCCTTGGATGGATGTCATCCAGCCCTATAGACTTGTGTGTGTCTAAGTGGTGTAGCAGGTCACTAATCATCTCCCGTTAGATTACTGGGACTTCATTCTGCTCCCGACCTTGTCTTCCAGCTCAGGGGACTGGGGATCTGGGGAACAACTGGTCCTACTACTAAAGACTGAGACAAAGTCATTAGCTAGTTATTTATTAGTCCAGAAGATAGACTGTGCCCCATCTCTTATCATCCCAGGTCTGTTCTTCTCTACGCCAAATTCTGCCTCTCTACTTCTCAAGACCTCAGCTGTTTTACCAGGCCTGTAGTTCTCTACTCTACATCATTGTGTTAGAATTGTAAATATTATACCTAGAATAACTGCTTGCTAATACTACCTATATAAAACCAATGTTGTACCACACAAGTATAAATAAGTAAATTATATTAGCCATAGGTACCTGATAATAAATTGCTCTCACAGCTAAACCAAGTGAAACAAAGCTGCAGGAAGGCCATGAAAAACTCAGAGCAGGTCTGGCAAGCCTTAGTCCTGAGGCCTTCTAAACTCAGTACAGAGCCTATAGCACTACCCTATGACACAACTACGCAGTCACATCAGAAGCAGGAATATGAGTGCATTTAAATCTATATGCTAACGTACATGAAGACAGCTGGGAGGCGAGGGAGAACGTGTTTCTCAGAATTCATGAAGTCTTCATTAAATTAATGAAGTTCAAAAAAGCCAAGTGCAAGGCCTTACACCTGGGTTGGGGCAATCCCCAGTATCAATACAGACTAGGAGCTGAATGGATTGAGAGGAGGCATGAGGGAAATGACTTGGGGATACTGGTAAACGAATTATACAGGAGCCAGCAATGTGTGTTCACGGCCCAGAAAGTCAACCGTATCCCGGGCTGCATCAAGAGCAGCGTGGCCAGCAGGTTGAGGAAGATGATTCTCATCCTATACTCCACTCAGGTGAGACCCCACCCAGAGTGCTGTGTCCACCCAGAGCTCTGGGATCCCCAGTACAAGAAACGCATGGACTTCTTAGTGCTGGTCCAAAGGAGGCCATGGAAACGGTCAGGATGGGAACACCTCCCCTGTGAACGGCTGTGAGAAGTGGGGCCGTTTAGCCCAGAGGAGGCTCCAGAGACCTTACTGCAGCCTTTCAGTATATAAAGGGTGCTTAGAATAAAGATGGAGGAAGACATTTTACCAATGTCTGTAGTGACAGGACAAGGGACAACAGTTTTAAACTGAACGAGGGTAGGTTTAGATTGGACATCTCTAGAAGCGTTCAAGGTCCGATTACTTTGAACAACCTGATCTAGTGAGATGTCCCTGCCCAGGGCAACGGGGTTGAACTAGATGTTCCTTAAAGGTCCCTTCCAACACAAACCACTCTGGGACTTTGCAGCACTTACGTCGCTGCCCAGCAGCGTGGCAACCCCGATCCAACCGCGCGTACGGACGCACCGCCACCGTCTCACCCACACGGAAATTATTTCTCAGACAGCCTTCGCTGATTGGTTGCTTCCTTGTTATTGGGCGGGTCCCCGAGCCCTACTCGGGATTGGTGTTTTTGTGCCATGTTGCAGGATGAGCATGGCGCCGAGGCGGCTGCTTCGTTGCAATTAGCTGACGATCACGTCTATCTTTGCGTCTCCGTAGATGATTGGCCGTTCTTCCGCTAGCAGGCGGGCTCGCACGGGAGCCGGAAGCCGCGGCGGCGTGTTCCGGTGCTGAGGTGGCTGGGGGCGGGATTGGTTTTCCAGCAGTGGAGCCGCTGCTGGGGTCTGCGCGTGTGGGCCGTCGGCAGGTCAGTGCTTCTCCACTTCTCGGTGTTGTTTTTCTGCTGTGTGCGGTCCGCAGGGTCGGCGCAGTCGCCTGGATCTCGGCGATGGTCCCGACCCGGCTCCTTCCGCCGTGCAGCTCTGCGATACCGCTGCCACCGTCAGTGG